TGATGGGCTCTCCCTATAAGATCCAAATCATACCTATGGGGAAATTTTGCAACCACTTGGGCACCAAATGTGAAGGATACTCCTGTTATTTTCATCCCAGCCTAAGACGTCTTTATTGGGATCAGGCCACAAAAGGTCACAAAGTATTTTCTTATTTTCTTCATGACTTCTTTGACCTCTTGGTTATTGAAGAGTGTGTTGTTAACTTTCACGTATCGGTGCCATAGTTTTCTTTCTATTCTTGATTTCTAATTTCATTCCATTATCCAGAAAAGATACTTTATATGATTTTGATCTCTTGAATTTGTTGTAAATTCTTAACTAGTCTCAATAGTATACAAAAACTTTTGTGAGCCGGGCATGGTGGCGCACACCTGTAATCCCAACACTCGGGAGGCTGAGGCAGGAGGGTCGTTGTGAGTTTGAGACCAGCCTGGGCTACAAAGTGAGCTCAAGGCCAGCCTGAACTGCATAGCGAGACCCTGTCTCAAGAAGCTAAAAAAAACCAAAAAAACAAAAAAACAAAAAAACCAAACAAACAAAAAAGAAAAACTTTTGTGTCCTATTGTGGCCCATCTTGGAGAATGTTGCCTTTGCCCTTGAGAAGAGCATATATCCTGGTGGAGCTAGGTGGAGAGCTCTGAATATATCAGTTAGGGCTGGCTGATCGATGGTGTTCACATCCTCCATTTCCGTGCCCATCTAAGGTTCAGTTCTTTGATTTCTTTATTAATTCTCTGCTTATTGTACCCACTAATGGAATTAGGTGGGGTTATGCAGTCTGCTTCTATGATTGTAAAATTACTTTCTCCTTTATTTCTGTTGGATTTTGCTTTATATATTCCGGGGGCTCTTTTATTAATAGGAACATCCATATTTTTAATTGTGGTTCCATTTCGGTGGATGCTCCTTTTATAATGTTCTATGCCTCTTGTAATAATGTTTGCTTTAAAGTCATTTTGTCTGATATTAAAATAACTCCTTGTGGTGGCCCATGCCTGTAATCCCAGTACTTGGGAGGCTGAGGCAGGAGGATCACCCTGAGCCCAAGGCCAGCCTGAACTACGCAGTGAGATCCTACCTCAAAAAACCAAAAACCAAAAAACAGCTCCAGTTCTCTTTCTTTCCTTTCACTTTCAGCCTGTTTCCGTTGTTGGATCTAATGAGTCTCTGGCAGACAATCTTTGGTGGAATCATGCTTTTTAGCAAATGTATAATATTCATATTCTATTGACTTCTGTCTTTTAATTGGAGAGTTTAATGTCTACATTTAATTTAACAAGGAAGAATAACTTCTGCAGTTTTGCTGTTTTCTATATTGTTTTTGTTCCGCAATTCCTCCGTGGCTGCCTTCTTCCGTGTTTAATAGATGAGTACTATTTTGATTCCTTCCCATCTCTCTGTTTGCATTTTAGTTATTTTCTTTGTAGCTGCCCTGCAGATTACACTTAACACCTTCATTTATAGCAGTGTACTTCAAGTTAATAGCAACATAGCTTCAATAGTATGTAAAAACTTTGGTCCTATATAGCTTTCCATCCCCCCATATTGTTACAGTTTTTTGGTTTTTTTTTTTTGTTTGTTTGTTTTTTTTTTTTTTAGTGGTACTGGGGATTGAACCTAGGGCCTTCACATTGAGCTACATCTGCAGCCTTTTTTCACTTTCTTTTGAGACAGGATCTTGCTAAATTGCTAAGTTGCCCAGACTGGGCTTGCCATCCTCCTGCCTCAGCCTCCCAAAGTGCTGGGATTACAGGGGTGCACTATCACACTCAACTATAAACTGCATCTTTATACACTGTGGGCAAACCACTATAGATGTATGATTATTCTTTTACGCATTTTTTTCTGCTGCTTCCAGCACTGTGACGTGTATGGGGAAGGTAGATGACCATTTTCAAAGCTGCTGTCAAGCTGAGGAGTGGGAGATACCACAGGAGAAGCCCAGAAGCTCACTTACTGAGATTCAGCTTCCCCCAATCCCTTGTATGCACACTTCCTTAGTTGCTACAAACTTTTTCTATTTTGTCTTATTTTTCACTTTTGTTGCACTATAACCATAGCAATATATATTTTCTTGATAGTCATGGTGTAGGTTTTCTGAAGATCTTCTATTCTTGATGATTGCTGAATAAGATTTGCAGATGTTGTTTGGAATATTTTTCTCTTTGAAAGTAAAATGAAATCCAAAATTTAGACTACTTAGATATCACAAGACTGAACATGTTTTGGACTTACTGTCGTTACCACTACCTCCTGAATCTGTGGCAGCTTTTTCAATTCTGTTTCCTACTTCCTGATTTTCACTCTTTTTCAGTTCCCTGTATCTCTGCCTTGTACAAATCAGCAGGGATTTCCATTTCATTCTGTTATAGGCCCCTCAGTGTAGTTGTGATTTCTTTGTAAAACCATGGGAACTGTTTTTGTATAGAAATCAACAAATTCACCTTGAAGTTGAGACAGTTCCTCTTTTTTTGCGTCATAAGGATAGCTGTTTCTTGTAGAGCTGTTCTCTCCAGATCCTTTCTTCCCAAAATTCATTTGCTCTTAAAAGTACTCCCTGGGGCTGGGGATTTAGCTCAGCGGCAAAGCGCCTGCCTGGCAAGTGCAAGGTCGTGAGTTTGGTTCCTGGTATTGTAGAAAAACCAAAAAAAAAAAAAAAAAAAAGAAAAAAGTACTCCCTGACTTTGTTCCACTCAGGGTTTGGTTATAGCAGACAAGCCACATGCAGACATCATCATTATCCTGATGACCTCTTTCTTGGATGGATCACTGATTATGTATTGGGTGGCATGTTAGCTTTCCATCACTGACAAAAATACTTGAAAAAATATTTAAAGGAGGAAGGATTTATTTTAGCTTATGGTTTCAAAGGATGCAGTCCATGGCCAGCTGGCTTTGTTGGCTTTTGGAACATGATGAGGAAGAGCATCAGAGCCGAAGGGTGTGGCAGAGGAAAGCTGCTCGCCTCATGGCAGCTGGAAAGCAAAGAAAGAAAAAAAAAAAAAAAACAGGAAGAGGCTGGGGGCCAGATGTGATCCCCAAAGTCATGCCCCTGTGATCACTCCCTTCAACGAGGGCCCATCTCCTGTGTTCATCACCCCCCAGCAACTCCATCAAATCTGGATCTCATCACTGGATTAACCCACTGGTGGGGTTAGAGCCCTCTTAGTCCAGTCACCTTCCAAAGCCCTGCTTCTAAACACGTGAGACTCTGGAGGGTCCTTAACTCTGAACTGTAATAGATAGCCTGTTCTTCAATTTGCATTTCTTCACGGGTACCAACTACTGGAAACACAGTTCTCTTGAAATACAGAACCAAGTAGTCAGTTGCCATTGATTAGTTTGTTAATTTTCTGTTTTCATTGAAAACAAAAAGGGTCCGTTTCAAACTGCTGCTTACGTGTGTTGGGGAGACGTTTAGCTGGTTTTGAGGGCTCGGGGGATGGCGCTGGCATCAGCTGCATGTCATGGCAGTGGGTGGCGTGGCTGGAGTGTGTGCAGGAGCCCATAAGGTTCTGGTTAGATTTTAGGGCTCTGAAAAAAATGATACTCTCATTTTGGCCAGTTTCCTGATTGCCTTCGTGACCAGACATTTAGAGTTCCCTATTCCCCTTTTTCTGAAACCCTATACTTTCATAGACATTTAAAAAATCCTCTCCCTTTTACCTGCATACTACTGCTCTAGATCCAGTTCTCATTACCTGAAGTCAGGACTATTTTAAGAACTCTTAAATAAATCCTTCCAATATACCGTCAGTCACGTGACTTCCTTTTGTAAAATCTACTGCCCACACACAGTCTCTTCTTGCCTGCTGAATGATGTCCCCAGGCCCTAGTGCCAGCGTGGCTTCACCTTCATTTACTGTTTTCCCTAACCTCGCTGCACGCCATGTTCTGATGAAGCCACACGGCTAGGTTTCTCCAGAGTACGTCATTTGCTTTCCAGGATCTGCCCCTGCTCCTCGTTAGTGCTGTTTGCTCCCCATTTAATTATCTCCTGCCCTCATCTCTGCCTATCCAAGCTGCCCATCTCTCAGGAATCAGCTTGGATTGTCGCCTGTCTGTGCGGTTGTACCCGTTTGGCTCACCCAAAACTAATCTCTGCTTCCTAAGTTGTTGTGACATTTTTGTGCTGTTTACCCGATGTCTATCATGTATTGCTTACATTATAATGCCCTGTATTCCTGTCTTCTTTCTTTCCTTCCTCCCTCCCTCCCCGCTTCCTTCCTTCCATAAATATTTATTTAGTAATAGTCTTTGGAGGACTACAGTAGTAAAGAAATCAGTCCTTGTCCCTAATAATCATTAGGGAACACACTGAACAAGTAAGCGATATATAACAATTATTGAGAAACCAAAAAATCTCAGCATGATTCTATGAATGAAAAAAGGATGAGCCCAAGTTTTCCACATAAAGAGTGAAGGGAGACCACGGTGGGCCCAGAAAGCAGCATATCAGAGGGTGCTGACACAGTCTGCGGGTCCTACCTTCTTTACCAGGGACAAACATTTCCATTAGCCCAGTGCTTTATGCTTGTTGCACAAGAGGAATAAGATTATCTGAACAAACATTCAAACTAGAGGTAGAGTTGACAAGAAAATGAATTCCAACGTAAGGAGGGAGAAGAATGAATTGTCAGAGAATAAGGTCACTTGAATCCTTTCTTATTTCATTAAAATAGCTGTTGCTGGGTGCATGCCTGTAACCCTAGCAACCTGGGAGGCTGAGGCAGGGGGATCTCAAGTTTGAGGCCAGCCTGGGCATTAGTTAGACCCTGTCTCAAAATAAAAACAAAAAAAGGGCTGTAGCTGTAGCTCAGTGATGGGGCATTTGCCTAGCATGCATGAGGTCTTAGAGTTCAATCCTCAGTACTAAAAAAAAAGTAGTTTCAGTAGCTGACATTTACATTGAGTGCTTGCTCTAGACTAGGAACTGCTAAGAGCTTTAGTGTGCCGCTTTACTTAAATGCTGCATTCTGTGTACCCTTCCTCCCCAGTGTCCTGAACCAGTATCCGGATGTGGAGCTGTCCTTCCCACGGCACCCGGAGGGCTACAACCTCTTCGGCGGTACAAAGAGGGGAACGTTATTTCTCACTTCATACAGGGTAACTTCCCCTTCTTTGCTCTTCTGCCGGTTCCCTCTGCGTTCGTTTTCCTTCAAACTGAAGAGAAAAACAAAACAAAACAAAACAAAAAAACCCACAAAACTGAAGAGAAGTTCAGCGGCAACTTTCAAAGCAGTTTAAAACATTTGCGCTTGGAGACTTTCCACATTGAAACGGGTGCTGTTTCTCAGGCTGGGAGCCCAACGCAGCCTCGACCTTGCTCTAGAAGTCTGAGTCCCCCGACAAACGCTGCAGCCCTTTTCCCAAGTTTCTTTCTCTGCTTAGGTGATTTTCGTGACGGCGCGCTCGGTCAGTGACCCCATGGTGTCTTTCACGATGCCTTTTGACCTGATGAGGAACTGCACTGTCGAACAACCAATCTTCGGGGCAAATTACATCACGGGGACCATTCAGGCCGCCCCGGACGGTAAGAGCTCCCCTCAAGAGTGGCTTCTGTTCGTCCCCCTCAAAAGCCTCTGGAAGGGCTCGGCGTCAGATGTGGCTCGTGTTGGACTCAGACTGCTTGGAGCAGGGCTGCCCGGGCGTTTGTGCTGCCCCGTTGCCCGCCGTGCCCTCTCTGAGCGAGTGTGTGCCGTTTTTCCCCGCAGGTGGCTGGGAAGGAGAGGCGACTTTTAAATTAGTCTTCAGGAAAGGAGGTGCCATCCACTTTGCCCAGCTGATGATGGAAGCCTCCTCTGCTGGTGAGCGAAGCTGTGACATACGGAGCAGCGGGGGGTTTGAGGGATTGCGGTGGGGCCGGGGCGGAGCTGGGGCCTGCTGGCTCTGGTGGGGCCCTTGGGATCCACGCCCTGTGTGCGCGGGGATCCCAAGGGCCCCACAGGTATATTCAGCCTCCCTCTGTCCTGGAGCAGCGTAGTGGGAGTGTCCAGTGTCCAGCGTCCAGTGTCCAGCCCTAAGTGGCTAATCACACCCAATGGAAGTCTGGGTCTCACGCCTCCACCCCTGCTGGCGGCGGGGAGCGCTGGCTGCCTTAGCTCCTCTTTCTCTGGCCCAGCTGTGGAGCTTTTCTCTCCTCAGGTTGCCGGTACTTCCCTCAGGTTTCGTTTTTTGTCTTCCAGGAGAAGGAGTGGAGGCATTTACCCACCTCCACACTGATCTAATGGATGTACCAGAGAACTCTTTCAAACTTTGAGTAGAAGTAACCCTTTAAGATGTGTTATTTAATTTAGCCTCACTTCATGCCCTTTGCACTCTTACCTTTTTTTTTTTTTTTTTTTTTTTGAGGCAGGGTCTTGCCATGTAGTGCAGGCTGGCCTCCAACTCACAGTTCATCCTCCTGCCTCAGCCTCCCGAGTGCTGGGCTCACAGGAGTGTGCCACCACGCCCAACACTCATACCTTTTTTATAGCCTGTACACACCGGAGTTCTTTGTGTCTTATTCTCTCTCATCTCTGACCCTTCATGCTATTTGCTCTGTCTGGCGTGCCTTCTTCTCCCTGGCCTTCCACTCCCTACTCCAGTACAGCTGTGACAGGCACAGTCCGGTAGAGACAGATGTACAGATACACATCCCACCTCCTGGCGTGGGCTGTCCTAGAGCACGGACAGAATACGGGGGCCATAAAGAAGAATGGCCTTGGGCCCGGGACATAGCTCAGTGGTGTAAGCACCTGCCTGGCAAGTGTAAAGGTCCTGAGTTCGATTCCCGGTGCATACCTCCCCTGCCAAAAAGATGGTAGAATCTAAGCATGGCATGAAGTTTCTAGTTTAGAAGATGGACTAGATCCTGACGCTATAAACAGGTCAAGAACATGGCTCAGTCTAAGTTGGAAGGGAAGTGAGTTTAGTTTTAGAACGCAATACCGGCTAATTTTAGTAAATGTTTACCGTATGCTGGGCAGTATCCCCAACCCTTTATATATGTCAATTTATTTAATCCTCACAAAAATTTATGATGTAGGTTATATCGTGATCTCCACTTTATAGCTGAGGAAACTGAGTGACAGAAAATGTAATTTCCCAAGACTATAGACTTAGTAAACAGATAAGCTAAACCTATTCTCTTTTTCAACTTTCTATGATGAAAAAATAAATCCAAGCTACAGAAGAGTTGAAAGAATATAAAAATGAACTCTCCTCCTCCAGGGTGCCTCATTATTAACATTTTTTCATACTTTTTTTTTTGCTTTGGTTTTTGTTGAATTATCTGGATTAAGTCACAAAGATCATTTTCTTTATTTCTAAATATTCACGTGTAATCTAAAATCAAGGTCATGCCCTTATCTAACTTCAGTAAGCTTATCAAATTCTGAGAGTTTAGCACTGACACATATTATTATTTAATATATAGTTTATATTCAAATTCAAATGTTTATCAAATTCAGAACGTTTAGCATTGATACAGTGTTATTATCTAATATGTAGCTTACATTCAAATTCAAATGATTATTCCATACTGTTCCTAATTCTGATTCCACTTTCCCTACAATTCAGAATCTAATCCTGGATCACATGTTGAACTTTGTCATCCTATTTTCTTGGTCCGCTTTAATCTGGACCTTAGCCTTTCTTTGTCTTTCATGACATTGGGATTTCAAAAATACACAGACTTCCTGGGCATGGTGGCATATGCCTGTAATTCCAGCACATGGGAAGCTGAGGCAGGAGGATTGTGAGTTCGAGGCCAGCTGAGACTACATAGGTAGAACGTGCCTAAAACAAAACAAAACAAAACAAGCTTTATTGTTTATCACAGTGCCCCTTAGTTTGGGTATATCTCTTTCCTCACAATTATATTTAGGCAGGAACACTACATAAATGATGTTGTATTCCTTTGAACTCAGACTTCTGGGCCCTACACCGTGTTGTGAGGTACCTGGGGTTGCTGGAGGCACTGGACATGCGGTTTGGAGCTCCACAGAGGAGCTGTATCTGCAGACTCGGAGCCCTCCGCGCACCGGTCATCCCCAGAGCTGCGCGTAGTGGGCTCACATAGCGGACTGCAGACAGAGTTCCTTCCCATGAAAATTTAAGGGATGGGAAGGAAAGAGAATGGAAGATAAGGGAATGAGTGATGTTCAAAGAAGACTGAGGAGGGGCTCGGAAAGGAGGAGAGTCAAGTGAGTTTATCGTCTAAAAAGCCAAGGGAGAAGAGTTTCGAGAAATACGAGTGAGGGGCTGCCTCCGAGGCACTTGGTAAAGTGAAGCCTGGCAAGTGTGCACCGCATGCAGGAGGAGATTTCAGTGGAAGGCTGGGGGAAAGCCGTATTATGGGGGCTGGGGGGCAGGGGCAGGTTTCACAGTTACCTGTAATGACAGCGCAGAGACGGCAAGGCCGAGGGGAGGCCGCCAGCTGTCGTCAGCTCGTCCAGAGGACAGGATGCGTCTGGAGCTGTACGTTGGATAACAGGGTGTCCTGCAGACAGACGGAGGACAGCTGTGGGAAGTCTGGGGTCAGGGGACACTTGGAAGTCCGGTTCTTCTTTGGTGCACAGGTGCCTGGGAACTCAGAAAAATTGTATCCGGGTCTTGAATCCAATTTTGCCTCATAGTACTGAGGAGGGCTTCTATTTACAATTATGCGCAAGGGATCAGGCAACTTTAGGAGCGCCTGTGTGTGCTCTCATTAAGATCTGTTTCTTGGTCTGTAAATCTAGGCTCAGGGTCTGAAAAGTTGCATAGCCACTTGGAATGGATGTGGGTGACTTGTGTGAACCTGGCCCAGTATGTGGGACTGTCCTGGCCTGACTATGTCATGGCTTAGGTATTGGAACCTACCTACTGCCAATCCCTACCCTGAGTGTCAGGGCTGGTGAGGCAGACTTCCTTCGAGTTAACTACCCATGATGCTTCATGGTCTGATTCTGTGAGCAGCAAAGATTCCCTTCCCCTTGCAGAGTTGCTCTGTCAGGGCTCTTTGAGTCATGTTTTTAATTCTTTAATTTGTTTTGTCTTTTTGAGACAAGGTCTTGCTATGCAGTTCAGATTGGCCTTGAACTCACTTTGTAGCCCAGGCTGGCCTCGGACTCCTGACAATCCTCCTGCCTCAGCCTCCCAAGTGCTGGGATTACAGGCGTGCACCACCACACTTCAGCTGAGTCATGTTTTTTACACATATCCATTGAATATTTATTGTGTACAATAAAGACAAAATAACCAGGAAAATAACCATGAACAAGATACACAATCCCTACCTTTATTAAACTCAAGGTCTAGTGAATCATAAAAATAGGCAAACATCCAAGTGAATAAAATAATTACTGTGGCAAGTGCTTATAAAGGAGAGTAATTGGGTAAAGAGGGCAACTTTAGAGTGAATCAGGATCACTGCTGCTAGCTGCTGACATAGATAAACCACAAGTTTTCAATACTTAAACCAGCGGGGCGTGGTGGTGCATGCCTGTAATCCCAGCACTCACAATTCCAGCACTCGGGAGGCTGAAGCAGGAGGATCGTCAGGAGTTCGAGGCCAGCCTGGGCTACAAAGTGAGCTCAAGGCCAGCCTGAACTGCATAGCAAGACCCTGTCTCAAAAAGACAAAAAACAAAACAACAACAACAACAAAAAAAAAACTTAAAAAATCGGAATACTATTGCCTGTGGAAAGACTAATCAGCAGGGGCAAGAGAGGGCTCTGGTCCGTAGACCTTCAGGCAGCCTGGATGGTAGAATCTCGGCTTCTTTAACACGTGCTCCCATGACCTCTTTGAGTAGCCAGCAAAGAGTGGATGAAAGTAAAGATCTCACTTAGGATGTGTGCATGGGCCAGGCCCGGAAGCTGGGTACGCTACTTCTGATCACATGCCACAGGTCAGAGTTCAGTGTGATAGATTCATAGTGGCTCCTGAAGATACATCCATGTCCTAATTGTTAGAACTGTGAATGCCACCTTATTTGTAAAAATATTTTTCATAGATATAATTAATCTAAGGATCAGGCCGGGGATATAGCTCAGTGGCATAAGCGCCTGCCTGCCAAGTGCAAGGTCCTGAGTTTGACTCCTGGTACAAAAAAAAAAAATCTAAGGATCATGAGGTAATATTACCCTGGGTTATGTTGGTGGGCCCTGAATGCCATCACAAGCATTCTTATAAGTGAAATGTAGAGGGAGGAAGACAAATGCTTTCTTCTCTACCATGGTGCCTGTACATTGGTCTTTAATGAATACATCTGGCCATCTTGATAGAATCTTCCCTGGGAAGTTTTTTCTGAATATCTGTCATAATAGACGCTCTGCTAGGCCGTGAATAATCAGAGGCAAATGAGTCACAGCTTCTGTCCTAGCAAGCATGAGTTCAGGTAAGGGTCCTATATATTTTACATCTGTTGCCCCAGGAGCATTGTTGGACACGCATGTGAGGTGGCAGTTAATCCTGTTCATTATTCAGTTAAGAGCTTCTGTATAGCTGACTTAAAAGAACCGAGAGTTCCTATTTTGCCCAACTTGTCTTCTCAGCTGCCCAGGGAGCTCCACTTGGAACGGATTACTGGTTCAGGCCTCTAAGAATTTATGTGGTCACCGGGGAGGCAGGCGTGTGCCCTCCAGAGGCTCCTTGTCAAGGTAAGGGGCGGTGGAGGTGGGAAAGTGTACCAGAGGCTCAGACATCCCTGCGCTGCAGCCTCGCCTCAGCTCCGCCGCAGGAGAAGCAGCTGAGGTTTGGGGCTGGGAAAATGGTCAAGCCCATGATTTTGCTTCCAGACTGAAACGTGGCGTCCAGCCAGCAAATGATGACTTGTGTCTCAGACGCAGAGCGCGGAGCGTACCTGAGCAGCTCCTGTTAGTGAGACGCTCACTTTATTTTATTTATTTATTTATTTTTTTGTCTTTTCTTCCGGTACCAGGAATCGAACTCACGACCTTGCGCTTGCCAGGAAGGTGCTTTGCCGCTGAGCTAAATCCCCAGCCCCAAATATCTACATAGCAATTTGTTTTTTTGTTTTTTTGTTTTTTGTTTTTTCTCCGGTACCGGGAACCGAACTCACGACCTTGCGCTTGCCAGGCAGGCGCTTTTTGCCGCTGAGCTAAATCCCCAGCCCCGAGACGCTCACTTTAGGCTTAGAGCAGATCAGAAAGCGTGCGCTCTCTCATTTCGCACAAGCGCAGCCACCGCGCCTCTGTCGTGCCCGCCAAGCCCACTGAGTCCTCCGGCCCCGGGCTTCTGCCCTGTGACCACATGCATGGAGTCAGGATTCCGGGTGAGAAATCAGCGACGCGGCTGTGGTCTGCGACCTGCTGGTGCTGTGCAAAGGGCTTCCTGGCGGAGCGGCCACAGGATTCGAAAAGGCGGGCTGTTTAGTTTAATTTACAACCAGAGGCTATTTATTATAACCTTAATAGTTATCTTGGCTTCTAAAGATTATTAGAACACAATATTCATAATTTAAAGGTAAGTATTATTAGAGTTTGAAAAAATTTATTGAGGTAAAATTCATACAATGTTTTTTACTTTTTAAAAATTTTTATTAGTGTGTGTTTGCAGTACATAGTGATCACACTCATCATGGAGAGTGGGTCCATGCACCTTCTACTTCTTAATTCTTCTTTTTTTAATTTTAATTTATTT